ATGCTCTTCTTCACCTTGTTACGGTTAGCGCCTCCCATCCTTCCTCCAATGGCTGCCGGGGGGCAACTCGAGCTGAGAATCTGAGATGCTCCAAGAAGATGTTCCTGAAAACAGAAAACAGAACGCCCGACATGAAGTGCGGAAGTGCAGAGCTGGTGCCAAACTAAAATCGTAAAAACTACTCGTAGCACGTAGCTGTCTTCGAATACTGCAACTAAACCAGCAAATGTACGGGGCATGCAACTGCATCTCCAGAAAAAGAAAATACCTTAGATTCTGAGAAGAAGCACCTCTGAAACTGAACCGAGCAATGCAAGCTTGACTCCTTTGGTGCAAGTGCTAGCATGCTTGCTCCATTTTATAGGTGTTAAGCATCGAGCAAGTGCGTCTTAGGAGTATCCGCTAACACTCGGTTTCGTATTGTACGAGATTTTACTAGGAAAAGTTCGCGAGAATCCACATGAACATTCAGTGAAGAAGTAGTCCAGCTTCCATGCAGGACGTCTTGAAATTTGTGGTCCCCGGGCTGCAATCGCAGAACCTTGGAGTCCAAGGAAGTTGATTGAATCATTACATGCTTCAGTCACTGCATACGGCTAATTCATCCCGTCGAGTAAAATCAGAGGTAGTAGTACGTACAAAATATGCAGTGGACTTTTGAGTAGAATGTGTCGGAGACTTTTGTGTGTGCCGCGTTAAACAAACCTACGCAGCGTACCGCGGATGCTGCTTACGTGGCGACGAAGATGAAAAGCTGGTCCTGTTGATGGTCGAATGTCGAAATATTCTACAATCCCCAATTCCCCATGGATGACGTCAAAGCCTCGAAAACTACTTTGATGTCTAACCGAGCCCATGTTTAGCAGAACCATTGCAGCCCGCAGTCTGAATGCCTTCCTGTCGGCCCAACAACAGAGGCCCATGTACGTACGTCTCCATGTCTCGATAGCCCACGAGAGCTCAGCGGCAGAGCACAGAACGCGTTCGTTCGGTCCGAGCGTTTAGTACCACCTCGCCAGCCGAAGACAGATGCGCCGTGAACTCCCGCTAGAAGGTGAGCGCCCCGTGCACCGTTGCTCCATACTTACCTGGACGGGGTCGACGGGCGATCACGAAGGCCCGTGGCCTGAGTCAGTGACCCGCATTGCACTTGGCGGGTGCGCTGGCTTACCATCTCCCCAAGTGGGAGAGTGGACGTCATAATTTGTGGTAGAGGGGGTACGCGTTCGCGCGGCCCCTGCCAATTCTGAAAAATTGAAATTTGGTCCCTAGTTGATAATGCTTTGGCCTTGTCAGCATGGTGTGTCCTGCGAGGGGTTTTCCTCATAACATGCATCATAGAAAGAACATTGATCAAGTGCGGCAAGGTACCGCACGGGAGATGTATGAGCACCGGCGAGAGGAGTTGCCTTTGCCAGTTCGCCGGACACTCGGACAGGTTCTGTCGTCTCACGTTCCTACGGCCAATGCGCAACAGAATTTCCGACAAGTCGTATCGGGGCGTTTGCTGGGCCAAACCACGGTCCAGTTATCTAAGAACTGCCTTATGTGGAGGCCCATTGAATGGTTTGGTCCATGTGTCCTTGACATGCGTCGTCTCTCTTCCTCATCTCTTGCCTCGTGTAGCATGAGACCGCGCCTGCCAAGACGAGGTGCTAGTGCTACCGTGGTGTTGAATCACTGCACATGACACGTGTCGGTATCCATTTCCCATTGGTGTGTGATGACTAGCCAATTCTCGGATAGTTGAGTACACAAGTCGTGCAAAGGCTGGACTTGGAATAAAATCCTTTTCAGTTTCAGCTAAAATATCCTCGGATCAGCAAGTACCTGTCATCCATACGTAGTTACGGACGCACTGAACAAGTCCTTTCCACGCATGTTTTGATCTGTTTATTTATGCTGTCTTACTTGCCGGGACAAAGCTGACCAAAGCAGATAGGCACGACCCTTCAAGTTCAAGACGATCACTGAACAAGCAAAGCTTTTGCCTGTAGGGACTAGGTAAGAAGCCAAAAAGATGGCCGGGTATACGATCCCATTCCAGCACCAGCCTATAAACCCCTACACCGGCCGGCCCACAGTTTTGCTTCTGCTAGCCTCAGCAGAAAACAGCTACTGGTAACGATACCGTGTCGGGTTCTCCGTGTAGAACGAAAATCAAATGAATAATGAGGCAAGCTATATCTGTTAAGAAAGCGAGAGTTTCTATTTTGGTTTTTGGACACCTCTCTTCTCGTCGAATTCCATGTGATTGCCCACAGGAAAGAGACATCAGTAGCCACTGACAACTCATGAACGACTGCTAACTACACATGGAGCAAGATAACAGCCGGAGCTTTACTAAAACTTGGACCAAGCCATCTTTTCTTGGGCTTTCTAGACAAGTAGAGAGCCTTCTGGACGTTAAGTGCCATCATAGTACGTCCAGCTGGCAATGCCCTCCCAACCGTCAGAAACCGACTCGATCATCTTCACCTCAATCCTCAAGGAATAAAGCTAACCTAGGCTCCTACGAGTAGTGTCTCAGTAGGGGATATTTGGCTCGACCCCAACAATCTTAAACCTGTACGACAGTACGAGTACTCCAACTCAGAGCAGAACCCGAACTCTGCGCCTCGGCCTTCCTGCACCACCTTCCTTTTCCCTCCCAGCTTCAGCTTCACACCTCCACAGCCTTCCTACACCGGCAAGAAACTCGCAGCAGGTCTGGGCATGGCGGCCGAGAGGCGCACCATTGGCATGGGCATGGACTACTCGCCGTCCAGCAAGGCCGCCGCGAGGTGGGCGGTCGACAACCTGCTTAAGGCCGGCGACAGGATCATCCTCGTCCATGTCCTCCCCAAGGGGGCGGACGCTAGCCACAAGGAGCTCTGGAAGAGCACCGGCTCGCGTAAGTATCATTGGGTTTTCACTTCTGCTGGTATCTCTCTTGAGTTCAGACTCTTCTCCATCGCAAAGATTGTCAACTGAACCGGTGTTTCTGTTCCTTTTTTTTAACCTGAAGCTTTGCTTCCTCTACCGGAGTTCATGGAGATGAACGTGCAGGCGAGGTACGGGTTGAACCCTGATAAGGAGATACTGGAGATCCTGCAAGCTGCATCCAAGTCCAAGCAGGTAATATCTCTACAGCAGCTACTATCTTGTTGGCGGAATTTTCTGTTATATGCGATAATGCAGTTTGTTCACTCTTTTCAAGGGTTCCGCTAGATGATTAAGCTAGAGAATGAAATTGTACTGTTACATAAAAATTAAAAACAGAACGCATAGTTTGCAACGGATACAATCCAAAGTATATTTGTATAGCGCAATAGCAAGGGCTATGGCCTAAATTTCACACCTAATGCTACAGATCTGAGTAATATAGTTAGGATTCCATCAGAATTGTATCCAACAAGGAAAAAAAGAAGAAGAGTATTCAGTCAAATTCTCATATAGACTTGTGTTGTCGGAAGTCAGGTCAATCATCATGAGACCATACTCTCGAATTTAATCAAGTTTACGGTAGCTGGCTAGCTGCTATATGGTATTTTATATCATAGCTTCCCTAAACATCAAACTAGATGAATCATTTTCAGACATTACTGCCTCCTGTATTATCGTCTAATAGTGTGAATCCCTATGTGAACCAGTCATGACAAAACAATGTGCCAAACACTACCCAACTATTAAACAACCAGCAGAATTAGTAAGCGTACTGAGTGAGCAGCTGACATATGAAAACATCGTTTGCCCATACAGCCAATAGAGCTCTCCATGGCAGTCCCTTGAGATTATATGCACAGCTTTGTCAACCCCGCTTTTTATGTTTTGGTAAGGCTAAAGGCAACAGCCAAACATTGTAAAAGGTTACCTGTCACATGCCTTTCATGGCTCCAACTATCTACAGAATTATTTTTCTTTTTGGAGGCAACAAAAAATAATATTGTATCCAAATATGCTGTTTAGTAAAATTTTGCTTCTATGTCGGCTTGATCAGGTGGAAGTACTAGCAAAGATTTACTGGGGTGATGCAAGGGAGAAACTCTGTGAGGCAGTAGATGATCTCAAGGTGGACTCCTTTGTGCTTGGTTGCAGAGGCTTAGGGCCACTGAAAAGGTTAACATCTAACCTCTCCTCTGTCAAGTGCTTAGTCTTTGGCTTAACACAGCTCCCTTAATTTTTTACATTTCATTGGATCTCAATGCAGGGCTCTCCTTGGAAGTGTCAGCAACTATGTAGTCAACAATGCAACATGCCCGGTTACAGTGGTGCGCGGACCAATTGGATCGAGTGCCTGATCTTTTCTGCTTAAAGGTGGAACTTTTGTAGTGCAAGGATCATTTAGTACAACTGGGTTGACCTCGTTTGTGAGGATGATGTGTTAGCTCTGGTGATTAACTTAAGTGTTATTACTTGACATCTGTTGTCCAGTCGTGATATCTGTGACTTTCCCTCTGTTAAATCTTATTTATATGTTTTTCGTTGTGAAATTATGTAAGAAAAAGTATACAGGCCATTTGAATGTGTCATTGGTGATTCTGCTTTTTTTATCTATGTGTGTGACAAGGCTTCACCTACTAAATATCAATGATTACTTCACAGGATTCTGAAGAATGAATGACAACAAATGTAGTTGCTTTTTTGTATAAGTTATTGTGGTTCTTAACTGAGACTCAGGAGATACGGGAACCCTACAGGTTGGCACTTGGTAGCTGCTTTGTTGAGGGCGCTAAAGACCTACTGATAGGCATGTCCTTGTAGCAGAAAGCAATTTCCAAATTAGAAGTTCTTATTACAAACAAAAACAAGGTTGCAGGCAGAGAAGACACGCAAACCTCAACATAAAAATATTTATTCCAAATGGCAGAAAGATGTGCTTTATTCTTAAATTGCATCAGTGCTCTATACAATGTGAACCATCTATTCTGCATTTTCTTGCACAAATGTAAGAGTAAAAACTCTGATGAATACAATGTTTGCAAGAATGAACCATCATGGTAGCACATGGACCATATTAATCAGAACATCTTACCAGTGCCATCTTTACGTGGAACAGAATCTTCAAGATCCATTCTGCGCCAGCTCCCAGCCAAAGATGACAACTGGTCAGCCTTATCATACAACCCAAGAAGACCACCTGTGTGGATAAACAGAACTTTTCTCCCTTTCCACTTGGCTGGATTGCCAGCCATGTCTTTTAGCAATCCATAAACTGCCTTCCCACTGCATTAAAATGATGATGCACGTATTTTTATACAGTTTACGACTAGCAAATACCAAAACATAGACCGCATGCCAAATCTATTTCATTGATTCAGACATAGGTTGCACCTGTAGACTGGATCAAGGACAATGCCTGTTGCTGCAGCTATGTCTTTGACAAACTTAAGCTCCTCGGCTGTGTTCATGGCGTAGCCTAATCCCTTAGCCTGTCAAGGAGAAGTTAAAGAGAATGTCAAATGTTCACTGACCGTTGCAAAATTTTGATTATGAAATGTAGTTTATATATTTAAAACAAGTTGAAACAAGGCACTGCAGATGAACTTTTTGGAGTTAGCACACCAAAATGATTTACCAATAAATAATGAAAATTCCAAAATGTACTTACATTTTCGATGCTAACTATATCATGCGAATCCAAACCAGAATTAAGTCCATCAATCAGGCCTTGGGCATAGTCATAGAAGTATTCAGGATCATCACAAACAGAGAATGCATGGACCTATCCACCGAGAGGATATTAGTCTAGAAAGTTCAGTGCCAGATAATACAACAAACAAGGGTAGATCATACTTTTGTATTTAAGCTGCTCAATCTGGATCCTAAAGCAAGGCCAGCAATGGTTCCACCACTGCATGAAGTTAAATATTATCCAGCCATAAAGTGATGCCTTGCAACTTTCAGAATCTAGGCATGACAAAATAAGAACTGGACACACAAAATTACCCATAAGAAGTATACCTGCCACATGCAACAACGATATCATCAAACTGAACATTAGCAGATTGCTGAATTTGCTGCTCGATCTCCCTTATTGCCTCAATATATCCCCTGAACAGTAAGATTTATAAAGATCAGGCTGCACTTTCTAAACTGAATTCATTTATAAAAAAACTGACATGGTATGTGCCAGACTATTTGAAGTACAACCCTTTACAGCATGTAATCTTGAATTCTTATTATTTTATTATGAAACTCTGACTCAAGGTCCATAATAAATTATGTAATATTTACACACAAGGCAATTTCTTACATTCCACTAGCTAGCCAGTATACTGCACTACACCAACATTGAAATGTCTTATGTCTTATGCTAATATTGAAATGTCTTATGTCTTATACGTTATCACATGATTCAACATGTAATCTATACATATCCCGTCGTAGCATAAAGGCCAACAAATATTACAACAAAACGACAACGGCCACCATTCATGGATACTAACCCCTGAGGTAACTTCAGATTATTTAATAAACACCAAAATGAAATATGCAACCATGAGTTGCTCTTGGCAGTTAGCACTGAGTATAGAATAATACCAAGTTCCCAATGAGTTTGATCCACCAACAGGAATCACATATGGCTTCCTCCCTTCTTCCAGAAGCCTTTTTTTCAGCAGATCAGCTAAAGCCTACACCAAATAAGTCCATGTCACACGGTTAGAAATTCCCTAGTCCAAAAAAAAGAAACTACGGCAAGTGTCAGTGTACAGTGGCAAAAAGCACAGTTTTTATTTACTTAAGTATAAGCTACTTGATTGGTTCTCTAGAGAAGTGACTAATCATGCATGAATGACAAGTAACACCACAGTGGAACAAAGGCATTGGTTACTGATGGCCATGCAGAAACACAATAAATGTTCACACCAATAACATAATAAAACATGAAGAAGAGCTTACCACACTGCCAATTTTTCCGTACTCTTCTTTTGACACAAGATCAATGTGTGCCCCAACTAGTCTCTCGACAAGGAGATTGCCAACCAAACCAGGGTCCTTATCCACAAGAAGCTGAAAATGTTCCACCAAAACCAAATTATGCCAAAGCATTCTACAGATTTCACATCACCAACAACACAAAATTGACCTTGGAGGTACGTAGTATCAGGTAGCAATCAAGATTGAGATACTTCGCAGCCACAGCTGTGGCACGGCAGTGGTTGCTCTGTATACCACCAACAGTAATAACGCAGTCTGCCCCTTGTGCCACAGCATCTGCCATCAAGAACTCCAGCTTCCGGACCTTGTTTCCACTCAACTGCATGCCTGATAAATCGTCTCGCTACAAATCCCCAAAAAGTACCGTGTCAGAAACAAAATGTCAAATTAACATATATTGCAAGTTTTCGATTGAATTTTAATGGGAACTGGGGAGACTGGTTGCACCTTGATCCATACTTCCGTGCCTTCCGGCAAATTGGGCAGATTCCATTTGTGAATCGGTGTTGGGAACTGTTTCGATTTGAAAGCATAATTCACGAGTCACACGAAAGTGATCAACTCAAACACGGAGTTCAAGTCAATTCGAACTAATCTGAAGTTATGGATAGAGCAGGTAGCGGTCAAGCAGTGGGGCAGGAATAGATGGGGAAGGGAAGCTTACATGGCCGAGCGAGAAGGTGTGGGAAGGCATGGGGGAGAGGTGTGTGGCCCACGCCGGCGGCGCGTAAGGCTTCTTCGACAGGAAGCCCCCGATCTGAGCGGTGGCAGAGGAGAAGGTGGAGGGAACTCCGACCACCCCGGTGGCGGTGACTCCGGCCATCCCGGCGGCGGCGACAAGACTCAGGTGGCGAACGGCAGCGAAGCGACCGAGGAGTGGGAGAGTCGAAGTGACGATCATTCCGAGGAGGGCCATGGAGAATTGACGTTTCCACGACCAGAACTCCAGAAGGCGGCCCGCACGCCAGATAGGCCAAAACCGGCCGGGGTCCGGCCCAACTATAGGCCTAAGGGCACGATTGGTTTGCGGTCTACCGTGAAACAAAATTTGTTCGTGATCAAAGTTTGAGAGCATGGCCAAATTTTGGCAAACTAGTTTCATCAAAGGACACATCTACAATGACAAACATAAATCAAATTACAATGGATTCTAATAAAACGTGACAAACTCTTTTCCAGTAAAAAAAGCCGATCTATACCTTTCTCCACTGTAGAGGCATCTGATAGATTTGATTAGAAAACAGTAGACTATGGTGCACTTGACCAACAAAAGATTATAAAAGCATTCACTTGTAAATTGTGAATTGTTTAGAATAGAAAAGTCAAGGAAAGTATGGACTACAGGACTGTTATAATCTAAGCTAGAGGTTTCGTTTGAAAAAAAAAAACTCCTTCCATCCAGAATAAAATACAATTCTAATGCATTAACAAATTAAAGTATATTAAATTTGAAAAACTAGATATGAAAAAATATTAATATTTTATCGTGAGATATATTTTTATTTTTACCTATTTGACGTCATAAATGTTAATATTTTTATCTATACCTGGTAAAATTCTAGATACTTTAACAAATAATGCATGTAAAATTATTATTATTTAGCAAATAATAATCTTAGCTAGGTCGTTAAAGTTGGTCAATCTTTTTGATTACGGAATCTGCTGAAGTGACTGCATTGTCTACAAGTTAATATGTCTAGATCAGCTATGAAGTTTGTGGACTAAAAAGTCATCTATAAGTTACTTTTTATCTATAAGCTATTAATGTTTGGATCAGCATCAGCTAGAGTTATTTATGGCACCCTGCAAAAGGGACGCACTGGTTTGGTCAAACACGTGTACAAAAATATCAAAGTCTAGTCATTTAAAACACAAAAAAATGACATTATTAGGAAACCCTGTGATGGATTCATAAACAAATCAAAACGAGACAAACTCTTTCTCCAGTAATAAGATGAGAGAAAGGTATGAGTCGGCTTTGATAAGAAATCAGATGCACCCAATGCACAACAAACAAGTCAACGTTACGAGAACCGAGCGTAGCTCGGGCGGCAAGGCCCGATGGTTGGGACCTTGCCGGCCAGGGATCGAGCCTCAGTGGCTGCGATTTTCTGGTGTCTCGCCGGGTTCGCTCCAAAATAACTTTGTTGACTCTCGTGCGTGGAACCACAAAGGAAACGCAGGAAATGCGACACATCACCTCGTCGTCTACGGATCTGCAATCTTGTAATCTATGTGTAGTTGTAGGACACGTGGTGTGAGTGAGGTGTGTGTGGTGTTGGTGTCTATCTATCTATGAATAGATACTACAGTTGAACTGGATGAGAGGCGTAAAAAAAAACAAGTCAACGTTACATTATAACGCGTCGTCAAGAAGAAAGATGAAAAAAAAGGACGACGACGAAGAAGAATCCAGCAGGTCTCCATCCTGCACCGGCCACGACCCACACGTGCGGTCGTGGCGTCGCAGCTGCTGGCTGCTGCTAGCGACACTTCCACCACAACCATGCTCAAAACTTCAAACCTTCACAGGACACTGACTAGACGGTCCACAGATCTACACATCCCTCGTGCCCTGGTGTCAGTTACAAAAGTTCACAAACCTAGCACGCCACGCCTCCGCTCCTGCTAAACGAGCCGAGACGTCTTTTTGACTCGCTCCTTCTCCGCTTTGCCATCTCACTCCCCTGTCTCTGCTTAGCGGCGAAGCCAGAGAAACGGGAGTAAGGGTGTGTCTGGCAACTAGGCAAAGAGAACATGGGAATTAGTGTGAAAGTTGACAGAGGGAATTAAGGAAGAAAATTGATTTTTAATTTTAATTCCTTGTTTGGTTTGTGGAGAGAAATAAAAAAAGAATTGAAGAGGAAATTCATATGTCCTTGTTTGATGTAGGGATTTTGAGGAGGAAATTCAAAGACAAAGCATGATAAACGGTGAGGATACTTTTCTTTTATTAAGAATATAATTCCCACCCAATTTCCACGTCTCCCCTAAAAAATTGATTAGTGAAAGTTTACCATCCCTTTCCCTTCCCACGAGAACTGCCCCATAGTTCCTACGAAAAAAAAAAAAATTCTAAACTCCAATTCCTGCTTTCAATTACCCCAAACTCCTTTTTCTAAACTCCTTTCAATTACCCCCGACCAAAATAGATTAAAGAAAAAGAAGAGAGAGAACTCGCTCTCGCCCGCTGTGCAAATCGAACAGCTCGTAAGCGATTTGCTGTTGCCTGCTGCTGCGTGCGTTTCGGCTGCTGATCCCGAGCACTTCCTCGCATCGAGACGAACAGTTCAGGTTAGCCACTCCGACCTTCCTTCAACTATCGCTGTGCGTGTCTCGGAAGATGGGGTTGGAGTAGCCTAGTAGGTGCAGCTGTGGTTGCGGCGGGAGTTGATTTTTAGTTGCTTATCTTTGTGCAAAATCTGGGGGGGTTCTCTGCGGGGGTTTCCGACGCGCTGCAAGGCTCGCGCAAGCGCAACGCGGGTCTGGAGTAATTTCTGGGATTGCTTCCGGTTCCAGCGTTTCCTAACGAGAGAGGTGGCGCCGCGGTCGACGCGTTTTGGATCAATTTATCGCCCTTTTTTCGCGCATTTTTCCAAATTTCATCACTGGAGGACGGGAGGTTGAGATGTGGAAGTACAGAACGTGATTCTGCTCTTGCTTTATTTGTGCATCTCACGGCGGTAATTTTTGTCGTGGTCTTTTTCTCTTCTGGGGTTTACGGGGCTCTGGTAATCTCTTTATGCAGGCGGAGGGGCCTCGAGGGCCAACAAATTGCTTCTGTTCCTGATCGTCTCTCTCCCCCACCTCCCTCAATCAGATGTAATGGGTAACCAGAATCTTCGTTAGACGCTAAATCGCGCCAGTTAGGTTCTCTTGATTAACGGTCTCATGTGCATGCACTGCCTCCCTCCCAAAATAGATGCAATTGGGGTTTTAGATCGAGTCAAAATAAGTTAGGTTTGATTAAATATATTTCATGGAGTACATTTTTTGTATATATTTGGCCAAAGTTGAGATAGATTGACTTGATAGAAAGCTAGAATTGCTCAATTGCATCCTTTTTTTGGTTGGAGTACTGCACACACAACTCACGCACCTTTTAACTGGCTCATGTTTACTATAATGTGCACATTATGAGATCCATAGTTTTCTATAACTCTTCAAACCTTATTTTTCATGCTGTTGCGTTTGCAGGGCCAGCAGAATTTTAGATGAAGACTTGATTTCTCCTTTCAGATAATACAGGTAGGTCTTAGCAGTGTTAGTATTAATGCAACTTGTTTTTGTTTTGTTGATATTGCTCATATTCTATTTTCTTGGATTTGTTTTATGGTATTTCAGCAGTTGCCATTTATGTGCCTTTGCAAGCTAATGGTAGTAATAATTACGAAGTCTTATTTATTTCGATGGGTCATTTTTAACCTTGGACACCACATCATTATTCTTCTGTTGTTTTCTCACATTTTTTACTGTTATATCCCACTGTAATTGACCAGTAAATATTGGCTAGCCTGGATATCCACGGAGTTCTTACTTTCTAAAGAAGGACAATCTCATTTGTGTATAAAGGATGCATGCATGCTTGCAGAGAATCTATATTTTGGCTGTTTAATTGAAAGTTATGTGCTAATGTAATGGATTTGTGCTGCAGTGTTTCAAAATGACTGACCAGGAGCGAGATGATGTTCCCATGTTGCTAAGAAATGTTGAGCTACCAAGATTTCCTCTAAGAAGTACTTCAATGTGTATACCAGTCAGGGATGATGAATATGAAGAAGACACCTTTGTACCCCATACTGGTCCTCTATTCGTTCAGCCGCCAACTCAGACGGCACCAGGAATTCCATTTACAAGTAGAGACACACCTGATAGGCTTCCTAGACCTTCACAGGGAAAACAAGTCAGCAAGCGACATGCAATCATGCCTGAAGAAATTAGAGGAAATAGGTGGTCTTACAGTGGACAGGTTCCAAAGAATGAACACTTGATGATGTCTGGACCTTTGGGGCAATGTGATAATGCTGACTGTGTGAATTGCCCTCCTGCTTGTAGAAATAAAAGACATTTCCAGAGAGGTTCGAATGCTTTAGACAATAAGGTATGTTCTTGAAATATGTCATTTGATCTAAGTTGCAAATAATGACCTGTTCATCTGTTGAATAAGGTACTAACATGTTTTCCTTTGTTCCTGTTGAAGATTCATAACATTCTTTATGGTCACAGTGGTGGATGGAAGAAGAAAATTGAGCAGATCATGGCATACATTCCGATTATGAACCCACATGCAAAGCCGGTTCAGCAGTGGAATCAATTCTTTGTCATATCATGCCTGATTGCCATTTTCATTGATCCCCTGTTCTTCTTCTTACTATCAGTACGTCAGGTAATGTTATACAAATTTTTCAGTATGCTTCAGATCAATGTCCATGCTTCTTATATGCATTTGATTACTTCATTTTGTTAGTCACGCTGTAATTTTAATCAGAGCTAACCACTTTTTGTTTATTTGATTTCGTCAAATGCAGGATGGCAACTGCATAGTGTTAAATTGGAACTTTGCTACAGGACTTGCTGTTGTGAGAAGTGTGACTGATGCTATTTATTTCCTGCACATGCTGCTTCAGGTAAGTTCATCATCCTTTTACTCTTCCAGATCAGCTTTTACATTTTATTTTTTATACAATATTTATCGCTCATACACAAGTCGGTACAAGATGGAATGCTTGTGATATATGTCTATATGGGTGATTTGGTATGCAGATTTAAGATTATTATTATGTGCATTCTATATTAGTTATATTCAGGACACTTCTTTGTGAATAAGTTCTGCACTTTCTTTAAAACAAATCTTCGATCAGATACTGACTTCTGGAAATACTGAAGTTACACTGTCCAGAACAACTTTCTATTGTTTACGCTCATATCCTTGCTATCCTGATCTTACTCCCTCTGTTTTGCAATAATTGTCCACAGCCCACCAAGTGCATAGAACGAGGAAGTACTAGCTTCATCAAGGAAAAACAATGTGAAATGACCAACCATACCCCTATTTTATGGAATTATATAGAACCATACCTTTTCTATCAGAGCATTTAATTAGGGAGAGTGGAAATACTGCAATAACTGATAGGTTTCTCTTTGTTAATGATCAAATATTTGTCTTGTCAAAAGAAAGTTGAACCAACCTGCTTATGTCACTATATTTTCATGAATATAATTAGATACTTGTCTTTCAGTTCAGACTGGCTTATGTTGCGCCAGAGTCACGAGTGGTGGGAGCTGGAGACTTGGTTGATGAGCCAAAGAAAGTTGCTATCCATTATCTTTGTGGTTACTTTTTTCTTGATTTCTTCGTTGTGCTTCCACTCCCTCAGGTAACATAAAGCTTCCCTTCTGCTCTAATTTCTCTCGCTTTAGATACTATAAGTTTCTTCTTTTTTTTACTTTTAATGTATTGACACAACAACAACAACAAAGCCTTTAAGTCCCAAACAAATTGGGGTAGGCTAGAATTGAAACCCAGCAGAAGCAATCAAGGTTCAGGCACGTGAATAGTTGTTTTCCAAGCACTCCTATCTAAGGCTAAGTCTTTGGGTATATTCTCCTTTCAAGTCTCCTTTTATTGCCTCTACCCAAGTCAACGTCGGTCTTCCTCTGCCTCTCTTCACGTTACTATCCTGGCTTAGGATTCCACTACGCACCGGTGCCTCTAGAGGTCTCCGTTGGACATGTTCAAACCATCTCAACCGGTGTTGGACAAGCTTTTCTTCAATTGGTGCTACCCCTAATCTATCACGTATATCATCGTTCCGAACTCGATCCCTTCTTGTATGACCGCAAATCCAACGCAACATACGCATTTCCGCGACACTTATCTGTTGAACTATGTCGTCTTTTCGTAGGCCAACATTCTGCACCATACAACATAGCAGGTCTAATCGTCGTCCTATAAAACTTGCCTTTTAGCTTCTGTGGTACCCTTTTGTCACATAGGACACCAGATGCTTGGTGCCACTTCATCCACCCTGCTTTGATTCTATGGCTAACATCTTCATCAATATCCCCGTCTCTCTGTAGCATTGATCCTAAATATCGAAAGGTATCCTTCCTAGCCACTACTTGACCTTCCAAACTAATATCTTCCTCCTCCCGAATAGTAGTGCCAAAGTCACATCTCATATACTCAGTTTTAGTTCTACCGAGTCTAAAACCTTTGGACTCCAAAGTCTCCCGCCATAACTCAAGTTTCTGATTCACTCCTGTCCGGTTTTCATCAACTAGCACTACATCGTCCGCGAAAAGCATACACCAAGGGATGTCTCCTTGTATGTCCCTTATGACCTCATCCATCACTAAGGCAAACAGATAAGGACTCAAAGCTGACCCTTGATGTAGTCCTATCCTAATCGGGAAGTCATCCGTGTCTCCATCACTTGTTCGAACACTAGTCACAACATTGTTGTACATGTCCTTAATGAGCCCGACGTACTTCGTTGGGACTTTATGTTTGTCCAAAGCCCACCAAATAACATTCATTGTTATTTTATCATAAGCCTTTTCCAAGTCAATAAAAACCATGTGTGGGTCCTTCTTCTTCTCCCTGTACCGCCCCATAACTTGTCTTATTAAGAAAATGGCTTCCATGGTTGACCTTCCGGGCATGAAACCAATTTGGTTCATAGAGACCCGCATTATTGCTCTCAAGCGATGGTCGATAACTCTTTCTCATAGCATCATAGTATGGCTCATCAACTTAATTCCCCGGTAATTAGTACAACTTTGAATATCCCCTTTATTCTTGTAGATCGGTACCAATATACTTCTCCTTCACTTGTCAGGCATCTTATTTTATTGACACATCTTATTTTATTGAAAAAAATATCGAAATTCTACCTGTTACATACCCCTTTTTGTTTAATTATGTTGTCTTTTATTTATGTAAGGTCTGAGTAGTTTCCGTTACATTTAAGGTCAACAAGAAATACAAAAAAAAACATGAATTGTGGTTTCGATAGCCTTGTATATACCAAGGCATGCCATGACTTTTTCCTGTTCCTGAACTTGTGACATGTAAGCATCTGGGAAGAATTGATGTCGATTTAGTCATACTTACATCCAACCATAATTTTGAGTAATATATTTTCGTGTTTGTCAACAACTTGCTGCTGCCTTACCTGTTTGCAGCTTTCCTCCATGAACCTTGTCTGTCTGTGTAGCACTTCATATGATTTTACTTGCATGAATGCCATGTATCTGTCAACAGCTAAAGTTCCTTGTCTAAACTCTAAACTGATGACTGATGACCTGTTCTTTTCCGATGTAGTTAACAACAAAAGAAAAGTAAAATATTTTTACACATCTTTTCTTCGTTGCACTCGTTATGCTTTTTGCTAATATTTTTCTTTGTTTGTTGATCAAGGTGATGATACTGCTAGTTGTTCCTAAAGTTGGGTTATCTGCTGCAAACTATGCTAAGAATTTATTGCGTGCCACTGTTCTTCTTCAATATGTGCCCCGTATCATCAGATTTGTACCACTTCTTGATGGTCAGTCCGCCAATGGATTCATATTTGAGTCAGCATGGGCTAATTTTGTGATCAATCTTCTGATGTTTGTTTTGGCGGGACATGTGGTTGGTTCATGTTGGTATCTCTTTAGCTTACAGGTTAGTTGATTTCTTTTGTAGGTTGTTTACAAAAGTTGGTAGTGCACATTGATTCAAATGTTCCAATTTGATAATCGTACGAACAAATCTAGTGTGCAACATGTTTCACTAATGAAGAATGAGGAATACACGTTATACCTACTTAAAGTGGAAAATGTGCAGCTCCAAATACCTATGTTAATCTGTAACATGTTCAATTTATATATTCAAAAATCACAGCTTATTTGGTAACTATTGGTTTTAACTGATACTGAAGGTCCAGATCAATCGTATCATTTTCTTTTGTTTCTCATTTTGTCAGAGGGTTAACCAATGTCTACGAGATGCTTGTTCTGCATCGACCATTCCATGTTGTGACTCTTTTATAGACTGTGGACGTGGCATTGGGAGTGCACTGTACAGACAGCAGTGGTTCAATGACTTGGGTGCAGAAGCTTGTTTTAACACTGGAAATAATGCTACTTTCCAATATGGAATTTATGAGCAAGCTGTTTTGCTAACTACAGAAGACAGCGCTGTAAAACGATATATATATATATATATATATATATATATATATATATATATATATATATATATATATATATATATATATTATTTTGGGGGTTTCAGGTATTTGCCATCATTTGCTTGTGCCTTTCTACTTCTGTAGGTGTCTCTTTGTTGCATCCCAAATATGTGACAATTTGACTGTCATGTATAATCTTTAGGTTGTTACTATCTTATGTGTCATGCTAACTAATGAGGTTCCATTCTATTTAAATTCATTACAATCTAACTAGTGTTTTTACTCATAGTTTATGGTTTGATTTCAGCAAATAAGTACCTTAGCAGGAAACCTTGTCCCGAGTTACTTTGTATGGGAAGTTCTGTTCACGATGGCTATTATTGGTCTGGGACTGTTGCTTTTTGCATTGCTTATTGGAAACATGCAAAATTTTCTCCAAGCTCTTGGAAGACGGTATGTGGTTATACTACTGGCTTATTTATCATGCTACTTAACCCAAATGTAGATATAAGTTCATCTAGGTTTGTCCTAGGTCAAACCTTGTTTTATCGTTGACTATCAATATCTAAATTTTGCTATATAGATTGACAACAAAAGATTAACATTACTGGATTCATTATGAAAAGTACTTTTATAATATAAGCTCTTTTCATTTAAACTAAAATATTTTTTGTAGATGTTGGTAGTAAAAGCGTCGTACTGAAGACCGTGTCAATTTCGTAATTTCGTAATTTCGTTTGGGGTAAGTATATGCTTATATGCTTGTACGGTCATGCACTGGGGCATGTCGTGTCCTGGGTACTGAATAGGGATGTCAATGAGCCGATCTTGAGCGAGCCTAGCACCTCAAGCTCAAGTTTGACTAAATTTCTAGCCAAGCTCTAGCAGAGCCTGAACTCTAGAGCTTATAGTAAGGTTTGAGCTCGGGCTCGGGCGCTCAGTTTGATCGAAGCTCGAATAAGGATCAAGCTCGGTTTTAGCAGGCTAGATTGTAGCCAAGAAGATGACATATTGAGATGGTTGACAGTCGTCGGTGCTTCCCAAAGCATTGGGCACCAGCATTGTTGCTGAAGGAGGACAACGGTGCCTCTGGGCACACGGTGGTGAGGATTCTCTTCAACTGCATGAATAAGCTGAGGGATCAAATCATTTATGGCAGCTGGCCTGCTACTGTGCTCAGTGCTGAAGGGAAGAGAAAGGATCGTTTCCCTTCGGCAGGTGAGGACATCGAGGCAAGCAGGCAGAACCATGTGGAGAACGAAATGGTGGCATTGTGTTGGGAAGAAAGAACATGATTGAGGATGATAAGATTTCTCTTTGTTTATTTATCAATTGAGTGAAGTGTGTGACTCGCATTTTTTTGGGCTGAGCAGCATGTGGGAGAGGGACCTTGAAGGAGGTGGTTGGCTTAGAAAAGTTGAACTGGCTGGAGGGAAGTAGTATCAAAAGGTGGGAAATTTTATTGCGCTATGTGTGCTGGCGAGCGATTCAAATTAAGCTCGTGAAACTCGGCGAGCAATCTTGAGTTTGGCTTGATTAGCAGACGAGCCAAGCTCGAATTTAGCTTGTAGAGAAAAACTTCGAGCTTCTTTGACAGCCCTACCACTGAACGACTGAGTACAAGCTACAAGGAATTGGGTAGAGTTTGGATGGCGATTAGCATTCGATTTGTGGTAGACAGCAGGAAGAGCAGAGATACAGAGCCATACAGGGATTGGAGGAGAAATTGGAAGGAAGACGAAGCCCCTGTTGGTTTCTGTTCGCTCAGCTGCTGTTTGATGCTTTAGTACCTCTCCACCTTCCCAAGTGACTGGCCCACATAGCAATCTGATCCCAGGGGCATGCATACGTCACACTACTAATAGGTGAAACTTGTGCTGTCACCCCCTTGGCTCAAGAAATCTCTATAGGCCCCTTTATACAAGCCCATTAAAGTCATCAGTAGATCAATTCACTCAGCAGTTAGCAGTAGTTCAAAGCGCAGTAAACACAGAAAAACCCATGCGATTGATTAAATCATTTTTTTAATTGTAACTATCTTGGTGTGTGAACATTTTACTCCTTTTATCTTCTGACAGGAGATTGGAAATGCAACTTAGGCGCCGTGATGTTGAAAAGTGGATGAGCCATAGACGATTGCCTGAAGATTTGAGAAGGTTGCTCTGCAGAACTTACTAAGCAAATCTTTATCACTATTTTTTCTTTCAAAAAACAAAGAACTTAGCTAGCATGTTTCATTGTCTAATGCAGCCATTTGCTACTATACTGTCAAGCAGTAGTACCGATCTGGTTGTGGTTCATGATTGGCTAGGGCCCTTGTGACAGCAATGACATACTTCACAAATCTTACTTTGTAGTCATGAAAAAAGGTGTATGCTGTATTGTCAGATAGTCTGAAAACATAACAATTATTTGATTAGTTCAGAATTGACATTGGCAATTGGGGTTTCAATGTTTCATATCCACAGGATGTACCATCTAGTATAGTGTTAATGAAGAAACTGAATGTGTCTGGAATGTTTTTTTGTGTATTGTAAATTTGTAGTCACGCGGGCATTTAGTTCAATCAATATTTGAGCTATATACCAAAACTCTGATGAAATACCCTAACCCGAAAGGCAGCCATTTTATTCTTACAGTGGAAGATAACAACACCTGCATCTCTGTATATGTGTAGGAGGGTTAGACGAGCTGAAAGGTTCACCTGGGCAGCTACTCAAGGAGTGAATGAAGAGGAGCTTTTGAGTAATTTACCTGAAGATATCCAAAGGGACATACGTCGCCACTTCTTTAGATTCCTTAATAAGGTTCGTTTCTAAGGTGTCAACAAATATTACTCCAATACCTTGTATTTCCACTCCCATCCTTTCTTTCATCTACCATGTCCGTAGTTAGTTCTGTGCTTATATGAAATTCTACTATTTTGGAATCTTTGCTACTGCTGTTTGGTTCTTAGCATTCACAACTTGTAAATGTAACTGTTATTTAGGGAGAGAGAATGGAAAAGAACTTTATCTCCAGGGGAAAGGGGTCAGAATTGATGTGGGACCACAACCAAATGTGTGCTGAGCTAAACATCTGGTTCAGCACTTCCAAATAAGCAATAGCCCAAAATATTCAGTGCAAACCACCCCTGCACAATTGTGAAACCCCCCTTGAAATATATAAATTTTTTTTTAAATGGTGCACTTCCATTGCATATATACAGATGTACATTGTTGCAAAAATTGAGGTGCAAACTCAATGTACAAAAATTCGTATGAAAATAACAAACTTCAGATGGCACATGCAACAACAACAACAACATAGCCTTTCAGTCCCAAGCAAGTTGGGGTAGGCTAGAGTTGAAACCCACCAAGAGCCCCAAGTCACGGTTCAGGCACTTCAATAGCTGCTTTCTAAGTACTCTTATTCAAACATAGATCTCTAGGTATATCCCAAGCTTTCAAATCTCTTTTTATTGCCTCCCCCATGTCAATTTCGGTCTTCTTCTACCTCTCTTTATAGGACTCCACAATGCACTGGTGTCTCTGGAGGTCTCCTTTGGATATGGCCAAACCACCTCAACCAATGTTGGACAAGCTTTTCTTCAATTGGTGCTACCTCTATGCGATCACATATATCATCGTTCCGAACTCGGTCTATTCTTGTGTGACCGCAAATCCATCGCAACATACGCATTTCTGCAACACTCAGTTGTTGAACATGTCGAATCTTTGTTGGCCAACATTCTGCTCCATACAACATAGCCGGTTTAATCGTCGTTCTATAGAACTTGTATTTTAGCTTTTGTGGTACCCTCTTGTCACAGAGAATGCCAGAAGCTTGTTGCCACTTGATCTACCCTGCTTTGATTCTATGGCTAACGTCCGCATCAATATCTCCATCCCTCTGTAGCATCGATCCCAGATACTGAAAGGTATCCTTTTTAGGCACTACTGACCTTTCAAACTCACATCTCCCTCCTCCTGTACAACTCCGTCAAAGTCGCATCTTATGTATTCGGTTTTAGTTCTCCTCAATCGAAAACCTTTAGACTTAAGAGTCTGCCGTCATAACTCTAGTTTCCTATTTACTCCCGCCTGGCTTTCGTCCACTAACACTACATCATCAGCGAACAACATACACCAAGAGATATCCCATTGTATGTTCCTGGTAACCTCAAGGCAAAGAGATACAGGCTTAAGGCTGACCCTTGATGAAGTCCAATTTTAATCGGGAAGTAATCTGTGTTACCATCGTTTGTTCGAACACTAGTCACAACATTGCTGTACATGTTCTTGATGAGGGTCACATACTTTGATGGGACTTTATGTTTGTCCAAAGGCCACCACATAACATTTTTTGGTATTTGTCATAAGCCTTTTCCAAATCAATGAAAACAAAGTGGAGGTCATTCTTCTACTCTCTAAACCGCTCCATAACCTGTCTTGTTAAGAAGATTGCTTCTGTGGTTGATCTTCTGGGCATGAAACCAAATTGGTTTGTTGATATCTGCGTCGTTCCTCGCAGGCGCTGCTCGATGACTCTCCCATAAGTTCATAGTGTGGCTCATCAATTTAATTCCCCAATAATTAGTACAACTTTGGATATCTCTCTTGTTCTTGTAGATTGGTACCAATATGCTTCTTCTCCACTCCTCAGGCATCTTGTTCGATCGAAAGATATTGTTGAACATCTTGGTTAGCCATACTATAGCTATATCCCCGAGACATCTCCACACCTTGATTGGGATACCATCAGGGCCCATCGCTTTGCCCTCTTTCATCCTTTTCAAGGCTTCTCCGACCTCCGATTCTTGAATCCTCCGCACAAAGCGTCTGTTAGTGTCATCAAATGAGTCGTCTAGCTGAACGGTGGTGTTCTTGTTCTCACCATTGAACAATTTATCAAAATACTCTTGCCATCTATGTCTGATCTTATCCTCCTTCACCAAGAGCTGCTCCCTCTCATTCTTTATGCACTTGACTTGGTTAAAGTCCCTTATCTTTCTATCGTGAGCCCTAGCCATCCTATAAATGTCCTTCTCTTCTTTCTTCGTACTTAAACGTCGGTAAAGGTCCTCATAGGCCCGCCCCTTTGTCTCACTCACCGCTCGTTTTGCAATTTTCTTTGCCACCTTGTACTTCTCTATGTTGTTTGCACACCTGTCATGATACAAGCGCTTATAGCACTCATTTTCCTTAATAGACTTTTGCACATCTTCATTCCACCACCAAGTGTCTTTGGAGTCGCATCCGCTCCCTTTGGTCACTCAGCTGTAAATAAATATTCTCTATGAAAGCTCTTTTGAGTGACAACCGTTCGAACACATGTTGCCATCTTCTCTCACATGTTTGCATCGCCTTCATCATTCTAAGGCCCTCTTCAATGACCTTTTCCTTAAAGACCTTTGATGCCTCCCCTTCTAATTTCGACCACTTCGTTCTAGCAACTCTAGCTTGTTTGTTCCCACGAGCTTGCACCAGAAAGCGGAAGTCAGCCACCACCAGTGCGGGCACGCGCGCTGCCGCCGCCGCGCTTGTGTTGAGCGCCACCACACATTCTCCGGGAGGTCCGCGTATCACCTTACAGGTCCACGCCGGCGAACATGTTCGTTTATTCCTCCTTGTAACGAGGACAAAGTCGATTTGACTAGAGCCCTCGCCGTCGTCGGTGGAGTTCGGCCGCTACTAAAGGTCACTAGATGAGAAGACTCCATTGCCTTTCTGTGGGAGTTTATGGAAAAAAAGTGTTAGCTATCATCCAGGCAGGATCAAAAGCTATGGCTGTAAGTCTAAGACTTCTCTCTCTCTCGGGGTTCCTATTACTATAGCACTAGGAACTTCGGCCCCATGAACCAAATTCCCTATCTCCGTGAAAACCTGCACGTTATGATGTACCTACATGGCCATTAAGATCACCTCCTATAAAGAGTTTCTACGCTACTAGGTCGTAAACAGTGGATTATTTAACCAAGCGATCTAAGTTTTCGATTATAACGATCAGATAAGCCCAAATTTTAAGACTGAGCCGAAATTGAGGACGAACATTCACCACCACCAACGCACATATAGCATTCAATGTTAGAATATTAGGCAATTTTAACAACAATTTAATTAAAAAACAGGACCTTCAACGTGACATCGATATGTGCTTGTGTGTCTTAAGCGTGATGAGAGAAGACCTAGCTAAGATTGAGTAGTGATTCGCCCACACACATACCAAAGACCCCAAATGCGTGATTGCCGCCCTTCACCCGGCAGGTGAACGGAAAGAAGGCGGTGGAGGACCTTCAACGTCTTTACGGCCCCGGAGAGACTCTCTCAAGTTCGTGCCGCCACGACACTCCCTAAAACGTGATGAGGAAGCGAGTGAACTCGAGAGGAATGGCGCATGAGCAGCTGAATATGTGGTGGATGTGGTGGAAGCCGAGAGAAATGACTGACAGAGGAGCAATTCTTTGAAGCCGGAAGGAGAGAGACAAAATATTTTGCATCTTCAATCCTTTTGTTAAGATTGGAACCAGATGTTGTTCATCAGACAACAATAGGTTCATGTTCATCAATTGCATCAGCAAACGCCACCTCAAGATAAAATAGGACCAGTGTGCAATCAAAGGTGAAATCGAAATCTTTACTACTCACCATCGCTCTAGAGCTAAGCACTACGGCGCTAGTATAACCATTGCCAGGTCGTTTAGATTAACCAAGGTCTGTTATTACATTTACGGATTTACCCCTTGATCAATCACTGTCTTCATCCTCATACTCCTCTTCGTCTTCGTATTCCTCGTCGTCGTCATCCTCCTCCTCGTCCGCCGAGGAAGAGTACTCCTTTGCCATGGAAAGTACGTTCCAGTGCCGCACGGCGAGGTCCCACCCAACGACGGACCCCGTCTCCGCCGCGTCCCACCTCGACGACAGGAACCCGTAGTGGACCCCGAGCAGCCCCACCGCGAAGAGCACGGCGGAGCCCGCGGCGGCGGCCCATGACGGCACGTCCCCGGGCTGCGCGCGCTCGAGCAGCCCCAGGAACGCGACGTCCGCCGCCACCGCCGCCGCGGGGGGCGACAGCATCCGCCACATCATCCCGCGCCGCATCTCCTCCGACAGCTCCAGCCCGAGCCCGCCCGCGCGCCACTGCTTCGCTGCGCCCGGCGACGACGTCGCCGGCGCCGTGGCGTCGATGACCTCGACGTTGCTGGAACTGGCGGCCGCCTGCCTAACGGTGCCGGCGCTGGCGCGGCGAAAGGCGCCGGGGCTGGTTGGAAGTAGCGGCCGCGCGCTGGCGACACGGCATGCGACGAGCAGCAGCTCCATGGCTGGCTGGCTGGCTTTAGCGTGCCTGTGGAGCTCGTGTCCGGGGTGCTGCGGTGCGCCGGTGCGGCCACTGGGTTTGGGGGTGGGCGTACGTAGGTGTGTGAAGACGAGAAGAGAAGGGCTTGCTGCGTTATCCTGAGCTTTTCCTTTGGGGATGGCAACGTGTGTGATATTTTGGCCCGGCAACATGAGATGCAGCTGCACACTTGCACCCATCCTCAACAAGCTTCTAATCAAACGCAAGTTAAATCTCCAAAATCATTCAGCAATTTATTTGGTTCCTGTAAACTTTGTTTCTGTAAAATTTCGATGAAATACCTGCATCACAAAAAGGTAGTAGCTGTTCATTTGCAGGCGGATTAGACCGTGATTCCTTGTTTAGTAACTTGTCATAAAGTAAGAAAATGATAAGTCTACTGTGAGTATCTCCATGACGTTCTTAAAAAAGACATCGAAGAATATAGATTTAGGATACACACAGTAAAGATATACTGTTTACCTTCTAGTTTCAGCTTATTTTGGGTAAACTGCTTACAAACTATTCGCTCCGTCCAAAAAAAAAAAAACAATTCGAGCCCAATACCAAGTTAAAGTATCTTAACTTTTTACTAACTATAAATTAAAAATATTATTATTTATAATATCAAATAAGTGTCATTAGATTTAATTTGTCATGAGATATATTTTTACACTATACTTATTTGGTGTATAAACATTATTTTAACATATATATTTGGTCAAACTTTAAACTCGTTAATCCAAAGAAAACGTATTCTATTTTCCTCAAAAAAAAAACGTATTCTTCATACGAAAAGAAAAGTACTTCCTCCAAGAGAAGATGAATGCAGCAAAGTAGTTATTTTTTCAGCCGATTCTTCGAAATTGAAGACAATTATTACCATTAGAATTATATATTTTATGGACAGAGGTAGTGTATAGTATAACAAATGGACCTTAGCTTCACTTTTTCTTTTTCATTTTCTTTTTCTTTTTGCCGGTCTAGTGCCGTTGCTGCACAACTGATGTTGCTGAATGCCGATTCCACAACGGGCTAGCTCCCGCCACCGGGCAGCTGCAGCCAGCGAAGGCTAGCACTAGCAGCCACGAGCGGTCAGGGCCGGGGTGGCCACTGGCTATGGCTCAGTTAGGCGCACGAGGGATTGGAAAAGAAAAGGACGCACGAACTCGATCGATTTAGAGGGCAGACACTGGGCGGAATGTTGAGGAATGAGGAGCCGGGAGAGTTTTTGGCCACGGGGAAGAATTGGAAGTGGCCATCGAAAGTTGCTGGAGGGTCCAATTGGTTTTGTTCTCGGCCCAAAAACTGGATTTAGAAATTGTTTTTTTTCTACCATTTGCAAAATGGGGTACGGAGTACGTTTTGTCCCGATTTGAAGGCGGTGATTGGCTCTTATACACTGATTAGCACATGGCGGAGATTGTGTTAGTAGTTTTTAAAAGATGCTACGTAGTCGTACTAGTTTATTGTCCACGAGACGAGATGATAGTATGATACAGTGTCCACTGAACTGGCGGGTTTGACTAAAAACATCCCATCTGAACAAAACAAAGCGCCGACGGGGCAACGGGCCACATGGTCTTCCCTCTACCCTGACACTTGCTTGTCTGAACTAGTGAGCCCTTCATGCTCTCGAGCTCGTTGTTGCCTCTAGCTACAAGCCATGCAAAGAAGGCAAGATGTGCATCAGTAGTCTAGTACACAGTGACTCCCCCACATGCAGCAGCTTTGAGATCTGCTAGCTCAGCCAGATCTCCTCTGCGAGTACGTGCTAACAGACGCATCCTTTTCATTTTCACCCTACCCTCGTATACTCTTTTTTCCATTCCCCCTCTCCTCGTAAAAACGATGCGAGACACTAACGACGTGTTGTGTGTACGTGAATGCCTGGATCCTATGCTACTACTGTACTCCTACGTAGTACACGTTGATGAACCTGAAAACATTTGTTTACGAAGAAAAACTCATCACAGGCCATGACACGCGGTTATTTGGTGCATCAACATTGCCTTGACACTGACCAGCTTTCTATTGTCGTCCGTGGCAGCCTTATGTCACGTCAGGCCTTGTCCAGACCGCTGTTCCAGCTTTTCAGGTGATTTGAAGTATAATTTGACAGCAGGAAATGTTCCCTTGCCCAGTGCACTGTCCCTTCTGTTCTTGCACCGTTGCATGAGCAGCACTAGCAAATGCACTGGGACGACGTCGATGCACCAAAGAACCGCAAGCCAAAGCTGCGCCAACAGCCACGGCATGTAGCAATGGAGTCACTCACAGGAGTGCACCTTGACTACGGCTAGCACCAGGGGGAGGGTGCAATGCAACGACGAACACGAAAGAAAGATTTGTATAACGACGAATCCGCGAAAAAACTCATCACAGGGTACGGCACGTCGGCAGGACAGCATTTACATGTTTAGAAACGCAACAAAAGAATTCCAGTCGCCACCACCAGGTTATATGCAACCCCACCACGATGTCCAAGAATCTTGCGTCCCCATGATCGACGGAACACAACCAGCCATCCATGCCATGCCACACGAGCCAGCGAGCGCCTAGCTGCAGTGCTGTACGCTCGGTGGCAGCGGCACGCCCGCCTTGGGCGCCGGGGTGGCGGGAGCCACGCTCGGCGGTGGCGGCACGTCCGCCTTGGGCGCCGCGGTGGCATGGGCCACGCTCGGCGGCGGCGGCACGTCCGCCTTGGGCGCCGCGGTGGCCGGGGCCACAGCAGCCGCAGCGGAGGTTTTCTTGGCGTGCTCGGTGCGGCCGAGCTGGCCAGGGCCGCGCCCGCCGGTCGCGGCGGCGGTGGCCGGGGCCACGTCAGCAGCCGAGGTTTTCTTGGCGTGCTCGGTGCGGCCGAGCTGGCCGGGGCCACGCCCGCCGGTCGCGGCGCTCCCGCTCTTCATGCGGCCCTTGCCGAGGTGGTACTGGCAGAGGGCGTAGCCCATCAGCGTCGTCTGGCTGCACCGCCACCCGCGCCCGTTCTTCCGGCTGCACCGTGACCCCGCCATCAGCTTGCTTGGGCTCGGCGGCGCCCTCTTCACGCCGCCGCTGGTATTCTTTGTCACTTGCTGCTTCTGCTTCGTCGCCTTCGCGCCCGTTGTTGCTGTCGTTGTCACCACCGCTGCTCCGCCAACGCCGTTGTTGCTGAGATGCTCTCCGGTCTGGATCGTCACCGGCTCCGGCACGTGGCGATGATGGAGACCATTATTCTCTAGGCTGCAAAGTGTGTGTAATGTAGCGTGTGTTACGGTTATGTTATGTATATGGATGCTGGGTTAGACGGGACAGAATAAATGCGACCAGCAAAGAAAGAAGCAGTACATGTACATTATACAGGAAGCACAACACAAGGATAACTACTAGTATAGATCACAGCATTGCAACTGCTGAGAGCCTGAGACTAAACTGACGAACAGCGCTAGGAAATTTTAACAGTCCGGTTTTCTTGACCACAGTACTGATGCCGGAGACAATTGAGACCACCAGAACCTATTCGTGGCTACGATGGAGGCCAGCAGGCCCCTCTTCGTGCACTTCATCTGACTATCTGAGTGCATCGATGCATACAACTCCAAGCAGGCACGGATGCAAACCACTAATGCCTGACGACAGAAAACAAAGTGCAATGTGCAAGTGAACTGGACTGTTTCATGATGCGGCGTGCACAACCGCACATGCACCATGTTTCCCAAAGCACCCGAGTTGCACTTGCACTCATACAGATCGAAAGACCGAGTTGCACTCATACAAATCGAAAGAACATGGGCAACGCAAGGTGCAGATCGAAAGAACATGGGCAACGCAAGGCGATCAAGCGAGGATGGTCCCGATCAATCAAAAGAACATGGACGACGACGCAAGGCGATCAAGCAAGCAAGTAAGGCCCAGATCAAAGTGGCGAATGAAAGAGCCAAAGAGGTTGCACTGGATAGATAGATGTCGCATGCATGCACATAGGGGTGGCAGGAGCAGTGGCCGGCCGGCCGGCCGGCTCCACACACACACCCCCTACATGGGTACATGAGGGCTTTGTCTGGCAAGCAAGTGAGGGCATTAATCGATTGGACTGATGTGTCAAGCTGGCATTGCCCACTATAGTAGTGTGAAACGGTGAACCCAAGCCCTGCAAATAATAATAAAAAAGGGGCCTTGGATCCTTTCCTTTTTTTATTTTTCTATTCGTAAAATTCCCACAGCCATCGCAAGAGCCCACCCGTACCATACCATACCCACGAAAACGAAACGGACGGCACACAGCACGCACAGTCGCACAGGCAGCAGCACTTTCTTGTTCTGCTCCTGGCTGTCGCGGTTTCATTTCAGGCAGCAGTTCGTTCGTATTCATCACATACATACCTGCTGCCGCCGTCTGCAGGCCCCTGTTGTTGTTGTTGTTGTGCACCTTGTAGACCGCTGCTGCGCTGCTCTACCGCACCGTCCTGCGAAAGCAGCAATCCAGGAACATGGTGGTTAGCTAGATCTGCCGCCCAGCCCACAGCCCGTGGGTGCAAGTGCAACGGAAGGCAACTTTTTTTATTTCCCAGATACGAGACGAGACGACGGTGTCCTAAGAAATTCCAGGAATGCGTACGCGGATTGGAATCGATCGAGAAGAAGAGGAAGAAGAGGCTGGTAGGAGCGAGCGCGCGTGCGTACCTGCGGCGGCAATGCCGGGCGCCTGAGCGGCGAGGAGGAGCGGGCGTCCCCGAGATCCGCGGCGGAATCATTTGTTGCGGGGTGCAAGTGCAACTCCCCCTCCCCTTGCTTGTCCCCCGGAGGCGGAGGAGGGCGCTCCTGATGATCTCGCGACGCAGGCGGCGCCGACGACTGGGGCGCGGGGTATGGATCTGAGGGCAGCAGGTAGGCGAGAGGCTGGCCCGGAGGCCGCCTCCTGATCCTCATGGGCGGGGCGGGCGCCGGGCGGAGCGGAGGACGAGGGAGACTGACTGGGGGCAGTGGGAGATTTGGGGAGGGTGCAAATCGAAGGAGGGTGTGTGTGTGTTGGTTTGGGTCGTCCTTCCCTTGGTGTTCTGGTTGTGGACTTTTTATGGCTGCACCTCGCTCATGGATGCATTTATTGATGGGAAGCAGTAACTAAATGCAATGAGGGTGGTGTGAGATCTCGGTGCAGTTTCCTCTCGCTTCGGCACTCGCCTCGCCTGCCCTTTTTCGTTCGATCGATCCGTTGGGAGGAGAGATGGTGGCGGACGCGCACATATCTGCATCGATCGATCTACTGCTAGACTAGAGGAGAGGCCAGGAGGCGAAGATGGCCGCGTGACGGGTTCAGTGGTGGGCTGGTTTGTTTTCGCATGCAATACACCATGTCACCATGTGCACTGAACTGCTCTAGCTATTCTACAGGGGAGGGGAGAGGGCCTGGGATGCCACCGTGTCAAGGCAAATGAGATTTGCCCCATTGCTAGGTGTACAACGGTACAAGCAAATGCGTATTTTCCACAACCAGGCATTGAGTATGTACAATGTATGTGTTGGAAGTAGCCTCGGTGAAACAGTTGGGGGGGGGGGGTCTAAAATATATGGCCGAGAGTAAAAATTGCGATGAAAGAATTATGTTCACCTCGACATAAAAGAGGTTTTGCAGAGAAAGGCGGCTGGTAGCAGCGTGAGTAGTAAGAAGAACCAGAATTTAGGTTTAAGGGCTCAAACCTTGTGTGAGATTCTTCGAAGCAATACTAAAGCGCTGTTACGTTTTGAATATGAAACCACCAGAAATCCACGTAACCACTGGTACCTACTATGGAATGCCGTGCTGACCACGAAACCACTTGAAATCCACGTAAACACACTTTTACCTGTGGAATGCCATGCTAACCACGAAACCACTTGAAATCCACGTAAACACTGTTGCATGTGAAATGACGTTGACCACGAAACCACTTAAAATCCTAACCACTGACACCTATGGAATGCCGTGCTGAACACGAAAACATTTTAAGAGGAAAAAATGTTAATTGTAATATTGGCATGAAAGCCAAACTTGTAGTAGTCATAGTTTCTATTGAGAGCCAATAAACGCAATATATTTCTAGTAGCACGGATATGTATTAGTGGTTTGACCATAATTGAAGAGAGCTACAGCCATAGCATTTGCACCGCAGAGTTATGGCTTTCGGCTTTACTTTGGCGACAACGCGCATTCATCCGAACACAAAAAAGATGCATGGTCATGTATGTAGAGCCAAAGCAAACACTTGAGGGGTTGTATAGTTCTTATACCAAGTTGATCAAAACGAAGCCCTGTCATAAGGACCGTATGATGCCCTTTCTTTAGTTTTTACCTATTTTCTCCAAGTTCAATTGGTAAAAAAAAAATACAATAATTTTTTTTCCTGACTCCATGAGTAGCATTTATGGTACGGAGTACTAATTAAATTTGGCATGCAAAAAAGGTTGAGTGCACCCAACTTTTGGCCGGCGGCCAGCACGGCGTGCCTAATATAATCGGCAACCTACTACGAGTACGAGTTACCACGAGAGCAGTGAGTTGTGCTCTAGCGGGTTACCAGCTTGCTGCCAAAATTCTTATCAGGCCAGATCTGCCGTGTCCTGCGTGTACCAGAGTCTTCAGCGTTGACCTAAGGGTTTCACTGACAAGTGGGCCCCATTCTCTCACACTGAGACGTTACTACTGAGTAGAGTACTGACTATGAAGTTGGGCCCAGCTGGCTTTGCATAGGCCGACCTGCGTCTGTCAAAGCCCATCAGGCCCAAGAATTTGGCTGTCAATGGATCAGCGTTGTCTTTTCGAACTTTCAGCTCTAGTGAAATCGTTGAGTGGCTATGAAGTATGAACCTGTTGATCGTCCTCAAGGCTAGGCACACAGTTCAGGATGCGAAAATGCGTCGTGTGTTTCAGGAATTTTAAGAGCGAAGAGACCATAGATAGATAGATCCATTCATCATTTGTCCGTGGCTCTTTGCCGTCCTGGGGCAATTAGACGGGGCGGCATGGGAATGTGGGGGCGCCTTTGTAGTGGTTGCCAGCCACAACTCGCCACATCTAACGTTAGGTACAAGCCATACTTGTGGCTAGCCACATTCCGTGGTAAATTGAGAGTGTTTGGTTGAGAACTAAGGTGTGGCAAAACAATGTGACAGCTGTTTGATTTATGATTACAAATGTTAGGCAAAAAGGTTATGGTAACCGTTTAGATGCAGCAATATATTGGTCAAAATAATGCATGTCCACTAGTATATTTGATAAAAAGTGATAGTGTTACCACGTACGGTTTGAATCATATTATGCTAAATTAGATTAAACTAATAAGTAAGAAATAATAGCCTAAACTTAAATTGAGTTGACCTCATTTAAAAAAAAGTTCAAACACATACTTATCCTTGAGCCATGGAGTGGATAAGTCTTATACTTGAGTCATGGACCAACCACCCGCTGCTCTCTCAAATGGCCAGACTAACCTCCCGTCGCCGCTCTTCCAGCCTCCCCACTCACGCTCCTGGATGCCATGCTCGTCCTCTCTCTCGCTGCTCGCTCTCCTGCCGGCGCCCTCCCGGTCCCGGCCGCCGCTCACGCTCCTGCTGGCCCTTCTGCTCCGCGTGCTACTGCCTCAGCGTCCTCGTAGGCAAGGGCGCCCTCGCGATGGACTTCGCGTCCTCGTGGCGAAGGCGCTTGCGGGGGCCGAGCACGTCATGGTGGGAGGGGCAGGCTGCGCGGGGGCTTGGATGGCGGCGTGTCCGTGGCGTAGGAGATGTGGCGGCAGAGCAGCTTGTGTCGGAGGCGGAAGAAACGCCCGCCACACATTCGACCGCGAAGGCTGTGGCGAATGCTTCTCGTGGCTGTGGCGAGCCTAACCTCGGTACTCAACCAAACACCAGCTTAAGTAGTTGTGGCAAGCCTAACCTGAGGTGTGACAGATTGTGGTGGGCAACCAAACAGCCGCATGTCTGTTGGCCTGATGGGCAATAAATCATGCATTTTGTGTCATGATTTATGGGCTGGCCTACATGCAGTCCACATGATGTGTCCTATCAGGAGAAGAGAAGGAAGAAAAATGAGGCAGGCCACACAGACAGGTTAATGGCTAAACATGCCGGCATGGCCGCCTTCGAATATGTGCACGGATGGACCATCAGATGGTTGATGGTTCGGTTGGTGAATGCTGATGTGCAATGGAGCAGAACGTACGCTCTCTAGATCCTTGGACGTACTCATCTCCTGTCCTGTCCTCGCGTGTTAAACCCATGCTGCTGCAGCAGCAGATGGTCGTGCCAGATCAGAAACCTCCATGCCAGTTAGGTAGTTACCAGGGAAGGTGCTTCTCAGTGTGACCCATGTACAGATCCCAATTCCCAAATTTCAAGCGTCCTTGGGCATGGGTACGTACAATCCAATCCTCCTGTGTGTTTAGATAGGGGGGCGATGCAGGTCATGCCACAAGACAAATTGACAAGGGAAAAGGACCAGCGATATGCATGGTCCATGGAGTGTAATCGATCGAGTTCAAGGTAAATAGCAAAACGTAGACGGCCCAAGAGTGGAATGTTGGCAACGAACGGGTAGAACATGGCCGAGCTAGGACCCCTTTTGTCGTCGGGCTCAGCTAACACGACGAAATTCTAGAATTTTTTAATAGTTTATTTCTTGCTTGGCATCATCATGCATGTTTTAATGGAGCTAAGAGCATATCCACGAGTTTAATATAATGTACTTGCTAAACTAATAGATTTAGCAAGTCAACCGAAAAAATATCAACCTTAAATTTTATTTTTCCCCAACAGCCTCCTTTAATAGCTTCCTAAATGATTTTGCTTTAGGAATCTTAAATGATTTCTAACCAAACAAATCTTTTTTATCAATTTCTTCTTACCGCTTTCTCATATGGAATCCCTTATTTTTGTTAATTTACTCATTGGTCCAATTTATTCCGATCTCCCGAGAAAAATGTCCAGGAGCAGATACGAAGTTCCTCTCGACCGCGAAAACTTACAAGTTGAAGAGGATATTTGACAACTTTTTATTTTTAAGGAGCTCTTTTACCAAACTATTGTAGCATGATTTTTCCTTTTTTTGCTAAAACATTAAAATATAGAGTTGTTTTACAAAACCCATGGAGATGATCTAATGGCCCTGGTATTCTTCCTAGTTGGATTTGCCCTTACAGCCTTAGAGCAAGAACAACAATCATCCTATAGTAAGTTAGTCAATATTTTTGCTCATGTGGAATAGAGGAGAGGAGAGCTTGGCTCTTAGAGCATCTCCACCGGTTTCCCAATATCCTATCCCCAATATTTATTTTTGTGAATATTTGGTGACTGCTACAGCAATATATCAATATATCTCCTCCAGTACCCATATGGAAGGTGGGTCCCTTAGGAGTGTAGTAGAAAAGATGGATGAAAAGTGGTAGTTGGGGTGGTTTCCATGCTATTTGGAGGAGATCCACCCCCACTTGAAGGAAGATGAGAGAAATATTGGTGATAAAAAAGAGAGATGGAAAACTGGTGAAGCAAGAAAAAAGCATACTTATTCCTAACATGATAGTTTTATGGGGATATGGGATAATGAGATACTGTATTGCTGAAGATGTTCAAATAACAAGTTGGGCACGAGAACCTATACAATAGTGAGTCATGATAACAAGTGCGGAAACGCTCAGCCACGGGCGTCCGTTCCGTCGGACACGACTTCCAGTCCTGCCTCCCTCCTGCGCTGTCAGCGGATTAGTCTCTAAAAAAAAGAAAAATTCCCCACTTGAGGTGTTGTGTCCTCCTCGGCTGCTCCAAGCCCCTCACCACACCGCATCTCTGGCCGACCCCGCCGCCGCAAGGTCCCACAACAGGGCGCTCTCTTCCCCGCTCCCTCCCTAGTATGAAGCAGCTGCTCCGGCATCTCTCCTGTGTGGCTGGCCCTTCCCCCGGTG